CATGCCTGGGGTACTTTGCCTCTCTGATTAGAGATCTTACTGTCGCCAGGCTTTGGCTGGATCAAGAGTATAGAATATTCCTCAGATGTCACTCCAGGCTCTATGCCTCCTTCTCCAAAACCACATTGCTCTCCAGAGTTTCACTGTTACATCATCTCCTGAAGTGAATGGAAAGAAAGCAAATGCACAAAGCCGAAATTACTCTGCCTGGATGTCGATAACATTTAAGGTCTCAAATGGATTTTTAGGCTTTGGTGTGATACATTTTGAGCAAAGGGGAAAACCCTTGCTTAGTTCAACTGAAATAGGACTATGTGCGATTAGGAAAGGGCTGATTAGGCAAAATAATGTAGGAATTGAATGAGGCACAAGGGGCTTTTGTATTTAGGAGCTGCAAGTTTTGAATCCTAATGACTAACTCCCTTAAGTACTGTATATTTTGTAATGTTTCTGAGGTCTCAGCATTCAGGCTCTTTTCAATTATAATCTTATTTCACATTTTGAATGACGAGCTACCTGAACTATGGGCCACTCATGCTAAGAATGTAAAGTCTCTGTTGAGTGTTCTGTTATATATCTATATCTACATCTGTATCTATCTCTCTATCTATCTATCTCTATCTCTCGCTCGCTCGAGAGATATCGATATAGATATAGATGTATGTATGTATTAGGGCTGGGCACGTAAAAGCATTAATTAATTAATGCCGACAATTATTTTATCGCACGTTAACGCAGTTTTTATTATTATTTTGAAAGTCAGTTGCTCACTGGCTCTGAATACACATACAGTCAAACCATTGGTCACAGGAGGGGTGGGATGTTGATCACCCAGACAAGCAGTGAAGGGAGGCTTCGGCAGACTATGTCTGTTAAAATTATATTACATAAATTTACCTGATAGGCCTTCATCTAATTTATGAAAAATGGGTGGGTTTGAACAAAGGGTGGTATGTCCTGAGTTGTTTAACACATCTAGATGTGAATACCAGGAAATGAAAGCTGAAATTCTGAACTCTTGTCTCATACTTGTCTTTAGATCTTAAACCCAAATGTCTTCAGTGTACAACAAAAACAAAGGAATTTGCCTTACCGTTCCAATACTTTTGGAGGGGACTGTATATCAATTCCCACGAGATTCTCACCGTTTGCTTTTGCTTTCGTAGACTGATGTTGGAGAAAATGGCAGCAATGACTAACAAAGAAAGACCTCAAGGTTATCATCTATAAATTTAGCACAGCTTTGTCTGTTACAGCAGCTGCACACATCAGTATGTCAGCACAATTACTGTATGTGTTTGTCCATTCCATACAGTAGCGAGATTAAACAGCAGCTCACAAACACCATGTAGCTTAACAAGGTTTTATTTCTAGAATGTCTAAGGTTCTTAGTGTTCAGTTGTGCTGTGAACTGGGGCTGACCCTCTCAAGTGGTGGGTTCTGTTGTGCCCAGGGCTTCATCAAAACATTGCACCACATTTGGTAACTAACCCACACTGCAGTTCTTCACATTGTTTTTACCACTATGGCATCTGACAGACTTTGGAACAATGAATTCAGCTCAAGGAGCTGTCGTCTGTCTTGAATGTCAAGGTTATTCTTGAAGGCAGACAATAGTTCATTGTCAGATTTTATTTAGGACCAGAGAGACATTATTATAATAAAAAATAATTGATCACTCACAAATGACATTATTTTGCATCATCTGCAAAATAATAATATTGTAATAAGAATCATGTTTCCATATAAATCTACAGTTTTAATTGAGAAAATGTTAATTTTACTAAAATAATACTCCGTATCAGTTTAGTAACACACACACGCACAGTTCACTTTCATCTATCTGCGTCTGCTCTTTCTTTTTGTTCACCTTTTGCCTAAAGTGGTCCCTACAGCTCTACCTTGAGCCTCCATTTTCTCCAGCTCTTGCTTTGTTCCACACCTTGCACACAGAAACACAAACATGCACAAGCCCTCCAGTGTTATGTTGTGTCTGAAGGTTGTGCGACACAGTATTGAAATATTTCCTTTCTTCTCCACCTTTATCACATTGAAAATGTCCCTTGCAGTATGATAAATGCCCAGATAAATAAAATCAACTACTGTACTATGTATTGCTAATGCGGATCACATAGACCATGCGCATTGTGATGGTTGAAGTGATCCTTGTGAGTTCTGTGAGTTGTCTCTTTATGGACACATTTGAAATGTGGCTGGTTTCCTGTTCTATAAATATGCTGATCATATTTGACCCTCTGGATCTGAATATGACTTAAATTAGATCAAAGATTTCACCATTGAGCTGCCAACCATACAAGACTGAAATTTTTTCTGTGCACCAACACATGTTGCTCTGAAATCTTGCTGTCAAGTATACTAAGGGACTAAAGGGTAATCCCCATGGCACATGTTCTTATTCTTTTACTACATAAATCTTAGGCAGTTCACTAAGTCCAGCGCCTTTCTGGTGTTTCAAAGTATTAATTGATAATGTTGGCCCATCCATTTGAATTTCAGGGAAATCTTGATGGCATACTCTGTAATTTTAAATACAAGTTTACGCGTTTCAACCATGGAGGTAAATATTGCTCTTGCACTGTTATGGTCGTCCTGCAGTTTGATGAGCTAAATCTGGAAATGTGAATTTGCAGAGTTTTTGTCAACTTTAGTCCTTAAAACGGACAAAGTTATTATTGTAGGGGATTTTAATATTCATGTGGACATTGAGAATGACAGCTTTAGTACTGCGTTTATCTCTCTGTTAGATTCCATTGGCTTCTCTCAGAGTGTTCATGAACCGACTCACTGTTTTAACCACACCCTCGACCTTGTTCTGGTATATGGTATTGAAATTGAACATTTAATAGTGTTCCCACAGAATCCCTCTTTTTCATGAGCTTCTTTAATGATAAAATTCTATATATTAGAAACAAAATTCACCAAGACCTGCCCTCAACTGGCACCGACTTATCTCTAAACTCAGGAACCCTTAGAAACAGCTGTAGAACCAGATATATGTTTAGACTGTTTTGCTTCCCTCAACCTTTACCAACTAACTTCAATAATTTCTTCATCTAAACCATCAACCTGCCTCTTAGACCCCATCCCCGACTAGGTTGCTTAAAGAAGTTTTGCCCTTAGTCAGTACTTCTATACTAGATATGATCGATCTATCTTTATCAACAGGCTATGTACCACAGTACTTTAAAGTAGCTGTAATTAAATCTCTTCTGAAAAAGCCCAAACATGATCCGGATGTTTTAGCCAACTATAGACCTATATCTAACCTTCTATTTTTCTCTCTGTTCCTCTCTTGCCCTCTCTCTCTCTCTCGCTCTCTCTCTCTCTCTTTCCCTCTCTCTCCTTCACCCCCAACCGGTCGAGGCAGATGGCCGCCCACCCTGAGCCATGGTTCTGCTCGAGGTTTCTGCCTCTTAAAAGGAAGTTTTTCCTTGCCTCTGTCGCCTAGTGCTTGCTGTTGGTGGTAACTGTTGGGCTTCTGTAAATAGCATCATAGAGTATGGTCTAGACCTGCTCTTTTATGAAAAGCGCTGTGAGATAACTGTTGTTGTGATTTGGCACTATATAAATAAAATTGAATTGAATTGAATTGAATTGATGTCAAATGTATGCAGTCTCGTGACAGATGGAGAAGTTTCATAATGAGATGGACGGTAATTCCAACTGGGTTTACTTTTACCTGTACTGAGAAGTTTTAGTTCACTCAGGGCATGTCTGTTTTGTGCTGTTAAGTGATTTTTTCAATCTCATGTGTTTAAAAAATCCCGGATTCTGTAATTGCGGTAGAGAAACTAGATTTTCTCCTGTTGTGTATACATGTAACCAGGTATACGTATTTGCCTGGCATAGACCTCAGGTAAGAAAATTATCGCTGAGCAGCGGGAAAGAAATTAGAGAATATTATGATCTTGTATTTAAATAATCCCATTTGATGTCTGACTAAAACTGACACTCTCATGAAGTAGCCGTTATGTCTAAATAAGGTTTCCACCATATTTGTAAAAGTAGTCTGGCACAACTGCACCTACTTCCAAGGTTCATGAGGAAGAGATAAAAAGCTCAAAAACCCTGCAACACGTTTCATAAAAAACAACTTCATTGTCAGACCACCACATTTCGTCATCATCATTTGATGACCCTGTCTGAGGCCACAGGCCTGAATGTGTTGGTCTAACAATACAGTTGTTCTTTTCATGTATTACAAGTGTTTTGACCTCTTCAAATTCAAACAGTCGCACTGTAAAGAAAAGCTGTGCACTCTCAACACAGAGCCTGTCCTCTCAGTAGAAAGTATGGTTCCAAAATAACCAAAATGGTAACCCCATTTTATTTTGATAAGGTAACACATTTTGATAGCTGTAATAGCAGAAACTGTTGGTCAGTTGTATAGGTTTGTCAGGGTGAGCCTTAACAGCTCATTACACACCATATTTGTCAGTATTTGGCCAATTTATTTTGACCCTCTAGTGCCACAGAATCTAATAGGTTACAGATTTATATCCAACACTGGCACCTATTTCTGTGGGCTCCACATTTTCTGTGTCACTATTTTACAATATAAGGTGAAATATAAGATAAGATATACAATAATGAGTATGGCTATTGAAGTAAGTCCCATAACAGTGGGTATAATATGTGCATCTGTATTCCAGGCTTTATTCTTACATCTAGTGTGAGAATATTGAGCTTGCATATTGCAGGTGTACTCAGCATAGCATTATTTATAATGTTGGGTTTGTTCATTATGCTCCAGGCTGTATGATTTTGATGCATGCCGTGATGTTTTTTGCTCCCCTGAACCATCGGACCAGCACTCTCTCTTTGTTCCAGGACATCTTGATTTACAAATTAAGCTCCAGAGATACCTAAGGGGTGACTGACTTGGTCTATTGTAAAATCTCAATGCGCACAAGGTTCTTAAAATGTCCTTCTCTGTTTGTCTGTCTTCTCTCTTTTTTTCTTTTTATTTATCACTGCAGGCTGTGGAAACGAACCTGGCATCCAAGGACAGCCACTGGGTCTATGCCAATGAGGTGAGGCCAACACAAACACACTTATATGCACCTGAGTGAATTTAGACCTTAGTGTCAGTTTGCCTCTGTCATCACAGTGTAATTTGCTGCCAAGGCACACACAAACACATGCAAACCTATGAAAGTTCCACTCTGTGCACTTTCATATTCACTGAGATTAGCAACACATCTTTTGTTTTTATTTTATCATGGGTGCCTGAGGGACTGGACCTTTATTTGGTATTTACCTCCCTTTAACTGTTGCTGTTAGTGTGTCCTTTCCCCCTCTGTACCAGTGCGTGTGTGCCTGACATTGACCTAAATGGTCTTCTAAAGTGGCTGTAGCAGCACAAAATTTAGGTGCACTTTGTGAATACAGAACAGTGGATTCTGTCTTTAGCTTTAATGCATCAGCGCTGCATTTCCATTGATTCAAACTGATAATAATAATTGATAATAAGGGGAAAGTCATAGGATTGGCCCGATACTAAAAGCAGTGGATGAAAGACCTGTGATATTAGCATTGCTGTGCCTAACAGAAGCTCTCTGTCTAACATGCACATACAACAATGTCCATGTATTTTAATTAAATGTTCCCTCCTCACTTATACAAATATCTGAACCTTTGCTCAACATCCAAAACATGACACATATTGATCCATAATCCATGGAGCACGATTAATGTGTCTGTGTACCCCAGATAGCCTATGTTGTTTAAGCAACATTCTTAGAAATATTCAAAAACCATAGGTGAAGTCAATTTTATTTATATAGCCTAATATACCAAATTAGCCTCAAGGGGATTTTTAATCTGTACAGCATATGACACCCTTTATCATTAGACCCTTGATATGGATAAGGAAAAACACTTTCAGCAGAGAAGAAATGGAAGAAACCTCAAGGAGAGCAACAGAGGAGGGAGCTTACAAACATGAAATAGATTATAATAATCAATAAAATTATAGTATGGACAATCAGGATGACAAAATTATAGCTAGTTAATATATATATACAATATAACAAGTCATCATTTATGGTTATTTTGTAATTTATGGTGCATCATTCTAGTAGCTTAAATATTGATTTACAAAAGTTAATGAGGATCAAATTACTTCATATTAGACTATAATGAGCTTATAAAAAACCTACATTGTATATTTTCACCATGCATTTGAGCATACACAAAACATAACGATTAACAGTTAATAAATGAGTTGCTTTTGAGAAACTTTTTCTGTGTCTGACAGCTTAAGTCATATTATTTTGTTTATATATCTCCAAAAAAGGCTTTCATAGTCTTAAACAAGATGACAAGATGGGGACTACTTCTTAATTTGAAGGAGTATTCACACACAAACTCATGCATGCCTTTCAGTCAATTACCACAGACCTTCACCAAGACATTAGCTTTAATTGCATCCAACTCTGGGAAAGTATGAACTAATGGCATGTTAATTTCCATGGCACTCCCTTAATGGTTGATGTGATGTGGCAAACTGTAGTGTTACCTCTCACTGGCACAAATTTAATGGGAAAGAATGTGCCCGATTGTATCTGTAAACTATGAAATATATCTCCATTCTGTTTTCTCGTTGTCTTTCTTTCTCTCAATATGCAATTTTCATTTTCATCTTTCTCTCCTTTGCTCTTTTACTCTTTCTGAAGGTAGTGAAAATATATATTTTTTGCTTATCCTTGATTTGTTTTTTTCTTGTAGTTTTTGTTTATCCCTGTCATCTCTCTCTCTTTCCCTGCTTTTCATTTCATCATCTACAAAAAACTGCCCATGAAGCTGACAATCACCTTGAAGTGAGAAAAACACAGACATGTTGAAAAAGCTGACAAGAAAATTCATTTACTACTTATGCCGATCTATTTTTCCTATTGGCCTCCAGAGCTCTCTGAAATAACATGAAAACTCATGAGCACCTTACAAGTCCACCTTTCGTTTGAATCCTGTTTTTGTCTTAGAGCCCTTTTATACTTTATACAACAAGAGTCAACATGTAAGTTGAATCCAGGCATCTAACTGCAAAAGCTTCTAACATGGCTGATGGCACAAAGATTGTGCAAGAGATTTTTTAATTAATTCGAACATGTGAGATATGAATATGAATCACCCTCCTTTCGTTGCAGCAGCTGGTGAATTCTGTACTCCAATTTTAATACACAGTCACAATACTAGATCCTGTTCCCTGCACTCATGGAAATCCTGTTAGGCTGACCAGTTGCAGTCCGGCTGTTTCACAAAAACCTGCAGGGAAATAACAGCTTTCCATGTTACCTCATTCGCCTGTCAGGGTGACAGTCCCTGTGGACAGTTGCTCCTGTTTAGCTGCCTGGTCATGACTGAGCTGTGACATTAATTTTAACCAGGTGATCTTGAGGCTCACTGTCACCTGCCCACCCCATTAGCTCCCCAGGCTCCTGCCGGCCTTTACAACCCCACACAGTCAAAGTGAAGTCTCACATTTCATTCATGTCTCACAACAAGCGCCTATGCTAATCTGCCACCAGCGGCAACGTGTGGCACGATGAATGTAGCTGTCAAGCTAGAAATGCGATAAGAGCACAGAGTGAGATGGATGGAGACAGAAAATGATGATGACGAGTGAGTATGATCACAAGTCAGATAAACAATGAGGTGTAAAAAACTTATAGATAACAAAAAGGAAGATTCCATGTCCTGATAAGTCGATCTTTTCATTCACAGGTGTCATAGGCATTGCACTTGCATTACAGTGTGACAATATTACATACAGTAACTTGATTTAAAAATACAGTAATAGGTTAAAGGTCTTCAATCACACACGACTGTACTTTAGCAAAGTATGGTTGTATGGTAAGTGGTAAGTTGGGGGACTTGCAAGAGACAGATAAAAATAAAAGAAATGGTCTAAATTCACACAGCAGATACTGAAATATCCTAAGTCCTTAGTTTGGGTCAAACCCAAAACCACTACATTTTCCCCATAAAGCAACATTATAAAATAGACGTGTAGAGGTGGTGGAGTGCCCTTTTAGTGAAAAAAAGAAAAGCTTGACTAAAACAACTAAATTTTCCATTGACATACCTTTTTTCAAACGTTTTTTAGTTTGCGACTGACACTAATGCATTTTAAAACCAGAGTGGGTTTGAGTGGCACACAGTGAGCCCTCAGGGTATGTCAACATATTCAATACATAAATGACCAACGTAATCTTTAGGAAAAAATTAAGTGCAGCAGGACTTGATTTGAGCAGGATGGCACGGGGATGATAGGCAGGCATGCGTCTCCCTAAACCACCTACTAAAGCAGGGTGTTGCAGCTGCTAGCACACAGAAGGCTGTCTGCGTCTGACACTGTTTAGTGGAGTGGACTCAGATGGATTGTGCATTCTGGGAGGATTTGTTTTTTTGTTTTTTTTCCTTCAAAGGCAGCACGGTGACACCTCCGAATGTTTGATGGATTAGGTGGCTGTACCTGCTGTGACAGACAGAGTCGAGGAGGACAGTCATGATATGACTGATGTCTTGGGTAACTGCCCATCAAGCAACTGAGATGGAGGACCCTATTCTAATGATGCAATCTCCGCCACACCAGACTGTGGGGCAAGGGAGGTTGATTACTGAAGAGGCCCCATATATACATATATATATATTTTATTTATTTATTTATTTATTACCGGGCTCTCACATGAGCCCCTAAAAACAGATTAGCCTACATTCAGTGAGAAAAATGATTTATGAGAAGTGTGCCAATAACTTTTAACAACAACCTACCTTAACCCCCCTCACCACCTGGCGCTGATCATTGAAAACATAGTCGGACTCACCACTGGAGCACCGAGAGAAATGCCAGTGCTCTGGTCGCTCTGTAACGGAGACTGAGTGACATCGGCAGCAGCTGAAGTGGTCAGACAGAAGAAAACTGGGAGAAGATAGGTTTGAGTTTAGCTCGCTGGCCATTTAACGTTTGCTGTATTGCTGCATTTAGTTGTTCAACATGCCAACAGAGCCGACATGCTTGTCAGTCACTTTTTATCAACCGACCAATCACAACCTGGAGGGGGCGGGACATAAAAAAAAGTTTGATGTGCTACAGCAAATAATTAAATGTTGAACAAAATGATTAGTGACAAGTTAGTACTTTAACAATTACTAACATTAACAAATTAGAGAACAATGTAGAGTATTTTGCTTGCACAAGGATTAAATAAATAAAAACAAGCCACAGAAATGAAACTGCTGTAACTGGATTTAATATTTGACTTGTGGTTAAATAGGGATGTGGTTTCGGACAGAACGGACCCAAACGCAACGCTTGTCAGTTTACAAAAGAGGTTTATTGAGGGGAAAAAAGGGGAGAGGGGAGACGGGAGGTGAAAAGGGGTAAATTGGATGCCGGCAGACGTGGGTGCGGAGGGCCGAGGAGCTGGCGGGGCTGGCAAGTCTCAAGTGAGGCGACCGAGAGGGGGCAGGAGGCCGAGGCGACAGAGGCGAGGGGAGAAGGCAGGTAGGCGAGCCCAGCTGACTGACTAGATGGCGGAGGTGAGTGGACCTGGCGGGGAGAAAGAAAAGACAGGTCTCGGGAGACAACAAGTTAGGGAACGAGGTATCAGAGAGCTTAGAACGCAGAAGTGGCACCAGGACTAGAGCGACGACGATCAAGCGGAGATGGAGTGGAGAACCGGGGTAGAAATACTGTTGAAGATGAGGCTGATGGCTGGCAGGTGTGGCGGGCGGAGATGGAGGTTGACGAGACACAGGTGTGGGTCATCAGCCGTGCTCCGGGTGGAGAGGGAGAGAGCACACACAGAGGGAGAGTGGAGGAGACACGGGGGAGAAAACAGAAATGCGAGATGAAGGAAAAAGAAACAAAAGAGCACAGGGCACTCACCGTCAGCCGGGCTGCCACCGCAACAGGGACCCCCCCTCACCGGACGCCTCCAGGCGGACCCCCCGGCTTGTCAGGGTGGGCCCGGTAGAAGTCTGTCAGGAGGGACTTGTCCAGGATTTGGCTGGTGAGGATCCAGGAAAG